AGCGGTCGCGGCGGGGCGCCCGGAGTAGCACGCGGCCTGGGGAGGGAGCGCGGCGATTGGCGGGGAGGCCGCCCGGCGGACACGCCCCCCCTAGAAAAGGGGCGCCGTGAGTGGCGGGGGGAGAAAGTAAACACAGCCGGCCGGCCCTGCCCGCGGACCGGCCGGGGCGGGAGGGGCTCCGCGCCTGACGTGATGGGCCCCGGCGCGGCCGCCCCCGGGCAGGAGCACGCGGGGCGCGGGGCGGGCGGCATCCTCTCCCCCGGCCCCTGCGCCGGACTCGGGCCGGCCGCGCGGGCGGCGCTCCCCCCTCGCCGACTGCGCGCCGCCCCCGGGGGGCGGCGGTGAAGGACCTGCCCGGCGCCCCGCTATTTATTCGCCCCCCACGCCCCCTTCCTCCTCCGCCCCGCTCTTTCCCGCGCCGCGGGCGGGCCATGGCTGGCGGCGGCGCGGTCGGCCCGGCGGACGAGCAGTGAGGGTGGACGGAGCCCCACTTGTCGTCGGGGCGCGGCCGCACCATGTCGGCCGTCGCGTACGTGGACTTCGTAGCGGCGCAGTGCCTGGTCTCCATCTCCAACCGCTCCGCCGTGCCCGAGGCGGCGCGGCTGAAGGTGCCGGGCGAGGGGGAGGCGGCCCGGGAGCTGCGCGACCCCCGCGACGCCTGGAAGGACTACTGCGCCCTGCTGGCCATCGCCAAGAGCCTGCTGGAGCTGAACAAGTACCGGCCGCTGCCCGCCCCCTCCGTCTGCAGTGACAGCGTGGAGAGCCCCGACGAGGACGCGGGCTCCGACAGCGACGCGGCCACCGAGCAGGGTTCCAGCCCGCCCCGCAGCCCCCCGCCGGGGCCGCCCCCCCGCCTGCGCGCCGCCGGGGCCGCCCCTAAGGGGAAGCTGGCGGCCGAGAAGCGGCACAAGTGCCCCTACAGCGGCTGCGGCAAGGTCTACGGCAAGTCTTCCCACCTCAAGGCGCACTACCGGGTGCACACAGGTCAGCGGTGGCGGAGGGAAGGGGGCGGGAGCGAGCGCTTGTCCTCGGGTGAACCCGGCCAGCGGCGCGCCCGGCATCCCCGCGCGCCCCCGCCGCCCTGCCGCGCCGCTCTAGCTCCGGGGCTGGCTCCTGCTTCCCACTCCTTCACGCTCCCCTTCTTTCCCCCGGCTCTCTTCGGCGCCCCGTGTCCGGAGGGAGCTGGCGGCTGCCCCGGGCGGGGCTGCGGCAGCGCCTCGCGCCGCGCCCTGCCCGCCGCCCACCTGCGCCGGCCGGGAACCGGCCCGGACCCCGGCGGCAGATGCGGGGTGGCGGGGCGAACTTGGCGTGTCCGGCGCTGCTGGGAGGGGAGGATGGCGGCGGGGGCCGCCGAGTTCGCTCGGGGCGTCGGTGAGGGAAGCACAGGGCCGGCGGGATTCGGGTTCCCTGGCGCTGTAGGCGAACCCGGCTGCACCGGGTCAGAACTCGGAGTCCGTTCCTCAAGGGAGGCGGGGGCAGCGCCATCCGCGCCCGCGCCCCTCTCGGTGCTCCCGCCGTCGGAACCCGCGGCCTGGGCCGCAGAGTTGGCGGTGAGCTCTGCTCGGCTGCGGGCAGTGGATGCCGCGGGGCCATGGCGCCGGAGCAGGGGCTGGCGGGGCTGCCGGCTCGGCTCGGCTCGGCTCGGCTAGGAAGGGGGCGGTGGCGGCGTCTCCCTGAACCTGGGTGAGGTGCACCTCTGGGGCTTGCGGACACACCCCCCTCCGGCGGGCTGGATGGGCGAACTCGGATGGGGAGCGCGTCAGTGGAGCCGTGTCAGGCGCTGGAGCTGAGCTGGCGGTGGAGCAGAGCACCGCCCGCTGCTCCCCGAGCCGCCCGGCGCCGGCCCGCACTGCGCCCCGGCCCGGGGCATTGGGGCGCCCTACACGGAGGCCCGACCCCGCTCTTCCCGGCGGCAGCGCCTCGCACTGTCGGTTACCGTGATCCAGCTTTGACGCGTTCCACAAGGGCTTCATTCATCAAGCTGTGTGCTCCCATTCCCGGCCCTCGCCCGGGCGCCTCGGAGGGTGTGGCAACATGGAAACCTGGAGATAAAACATATCTGCGGCAGCCGAGCCCCAAGGGGACAGCAGCAGCAGACTTCTCTGTTCGTTTGTTGGTTTTCGTGGTTTTTGTTTGTTTCTTTGTTTGTTTTTAGACCTTCAATGCAAGTGATTGAATAAAAACCTTTATAGGTCTGAATTGCTCTTGGGATCACAGTGGAGTACAAAAGGCTACTTTAAAAATGTTCTGAATTAGAGGGTTGTGTTCAGGAACAGAAAGCAGAGAATAAAAAGAGACAAACACTGCCAAGACATTTCATGGGCTTTACATCAGTTCTGTCAATGATGGTACCTTTTGGGGTCTGTTGGTGGTGATGGTTAGCAGTGTAATACAAAGTGAGTTGATCACCCAAGGAACGTACCATTCCTTGGCATTGCTGTAGAATTTAATATGGGTTGGGTAGGATATTGCCACATCTGAGCTCCAGCTCAGCTTCCGTTGCTCCAGTTCACCGGTGTGCCTGGGTGTGCGTGCACTGCAGAGGGAGAGGCTCGGGGCTCGGTGCCGACCGGTGCCCTGCTGGCAGATCTGCTGGGAGCTTACATCAAGAGGCTAGAGAGAAGGGGGTAGGATTACTGGATATGGCTCAGCGAAGAGCTCTGCGGTTAGACTTTCTCTCTGAGCTGGGAAAGAAAGGAGGACGTGAGGTGCGGCATCCTCAGTGGTGACCCTATGCTGACCCCATGACCATTGCCAAGGGTTGTTGTGTTACCAGCTCAGAGACTGCAGCTCAGATGCTCTTTTGGAGGCTGAGTGTAACTGGGGCTCTCCAAAATGTTGTCTCATAAGTGACAAAGAAAACGTTAGTATCATTTCCATTTACTACCCCACGCTCAAATATCCACCCTGATAAGAGAACCAGAATAGATGTTGGCTGAGATAGCATTCTGTGTGATGACATGTAAATTAATGTACTGTACAACCCACACAGCCTGCTGTAAGCAGTAGTGTTATAATAAGTAGTGCTGAAGTGGTATGAGGTTCAGCATGTGCTTCTCCCAAGTGGGTGGCCTTAGCTCCAAGTATGAGGCATTTGACTCAGAAACACTGATGTACTGTCATGGTAGTTTTGTGTGATTTGTGTGATTTGTGGATGCAGACATCCAGGAGTAATGAACTTTCAGAGCTTCCTAATGTGAAGTTAATTGTAGCTAACTGAAATGCTAAATGATACTGATAATGTTAATTATTTTTATAGATGACAACAATTCCTTAGCAACAGTGGGATTCAATGGGACCTCTGGAGTTATTCATAACTGTACATTGCAGAGCATTAATGGGCTCTCCTTAGTACTGTTTTATTTCCTTTCTTTCAAATGATGTCTCTCATCTATCTGCCATTTTTCACCAGGCCACCAGCTAGGTTTCTTGATGCAGTGTAGCCTTTAGTGGAAGTAGGTGCACAGCCACCAGTTGAAGCTTCCTGGTATTAATTTTTTAATATTTTATCCCAGTATTTCTATTTTGGAAAATGGCTTAAGGATTTCTGTTCACATCCATGGACTTGTGTGTACTCACAGTTCTCTTTATTCATGAATCCTAACCAAGCGAGTTGGGAAGCTCTGGATCCTTCTCTTTTTGTGTAGTGGTTGGGAATCTGAAAACTCACCAGTTCATCTTTGGTAGCCTAATGCAAAGCAAGAAACAAAATACCAAATCGAGGTAGAAAGGTAGAAGGCAAAAACTTGGTGCTCAGAGGTTAGAGGTCTGCATCTTATTAACCATTCTTTAAATTTGTTGTTTCAAAGGTTCTGTATTTCAGATACTAAAAATGTCTGTATAATTGTTTGCTTGAAGATTGGGCCTTTGATGCTAATTCTAGTTCAATTTCCAGAAGGCCCAAATTAGCCATCCATGAGAAGTTGTCTTTTGAGTTGATTCTTACAGAAAAAGATCAGCAGATGGCACTGCATATCCTGCTTGTGCAAACAGTCCCCTTGCTTGTGCTGCTAGGCTTGGGTGAGATCCAAGCCCTGGAAGTGGTACAGAGGTTGGGAAAAGGTGAAGGATCCATCTGAACAAGAAAAAGACAAGCAACAGCAGATAAGCAGAGAGTTACCTTCAAAACGAAGAAGAAACAGAAATTCTCTAAATAGGTGGGTTTAGAGGTTTGGCTATGACAGATGTAGGGTTACAGGTGTACAGGTGACAGGTGTAGGTATGTAGTGTTATTATTAGCCTCAAAGATGGAGCAGGGGGTGTGCGGGCCAGAGGGTTTCCAGGGAGAATGAAGGCATACGAGAACAAACAAGCAATCTCAGTCAGGAGGCCTGGCCAGAGAGTGCAAGGCAAAGGGCAGGGAGAGAAACTGGCAGGAGAAACAAGCTGTACAAAATTCATGTTTGCTGTGATGGTGTGAATATAATCCAGTTAAAGGGCACATGACCACTGAGACCAGGTCTTCTCTGTCCCTCCTTCCTGACCAGGAAGGTACCATAAAAGTAGCTTCCACCTACTGGACTTGCAGGTGTTTACTTGCCTGGGGAGGCTGAGGATTGATGGGATGCCCTTAATTAAGAGTTAGGGTGCTCAAAATCCAGATGTGGGAAAAGTTCTCCTTCTTCAGCTAGGCTTTTCAACCAACTGTATCATGATGTAAACTGGATCCAGACAATGCCAAGAGTTTTGTTACACCAGGCAGCTGATGCACTCTTAAGTGCTCCCAGCATTTGGCTCTCACCAGTGCTTGGAAGCAGGGATTAGGCAGAGGAGTGGAGCCACAGGCTAACAGTCTGCACAGGGAAGTGGAGGTGCATTTCTGGTAGAGAGTAAGAAAAGGCGCTACAGCTGCCTTTTGCTGCTGCCCAGATATCTTGGTGTTGGACCAGCCCCTGTGTCATTTTGGTTTGAACTGTGTTGCTTTGTTATTTGTGTTCTAGATTATCTCACTCAACAGGCTGTACAGATGCTGGTATGTTGACTGTCCTCTGCTCGCTGAGATCTTTCTCAGTAATTTTGTTTGAGCATAATCTGAAATTTAGCATTTTAAGACCCTCCTATCCAGCTCATGCCATGTCACTTACCCAGATTCTTTATAATAGGACCGAAGAGGAAAAAGTGGAGCTGACAACACATTTTTTGTTAAATTCAGATTGCCATGCGAAATACCATGGTTAATGAAAATGCACAAATTGCTGGAGTTCTAATGGGCATGTTTCCAGGTTTGGGAGAAACCTGATGATCCTGACTGGGAGCCTTGCCAGCTGAATAAGGTAGGCAGAAATCCTCAAGATTAGGTTCAAAATTGTCTAATTCCCAGTTGTCGTTTTTTTGATAAAAAATTAAGATTTTAAGCAGGTGTATGTGCCAGTTGTGGGAAAGCACTCAAGAAAACTTAATCAATTGAGTCAGCATGACATAGTTCACATGTAGGACAGAAGCAGTGAGCAGGCATTATCCATAAGAGCACAGCTCCTGCTTCCAGATGGATGTATTGAAGTTGCAGCTTTACCGAGTTCTGGACAGTGTTTGTGCTGTGGCACTGGAGACCGTGTGGTGGGTGTCACTGCTCTTGTGTTTATTGCAGCACCAGCTGTTAGGATTGCTGCAGGAACTCCTTTTTTCCTCTTTGTTGGCTGTGTTGTTGTGCACCAGGCTACTGCCCCTGTGCTTCTGGCCTTGAACAGCTTCCAAGCCTACAGCTGGAAGAGTAGGAAAGGGCTAATTTAAGAGTAAGGAAACAGGGTCTGTTGTATTCCATTTTATGTAAATGGTATGCCCTGTCTCAGGGTCTGAGGGAGTGATGGCAAAGAATACCTCAGACACTGTTCACTTGTGGTAGTCTAATTCACCATCTGTATTCAGGTTATGATTAATGTACACAGCCTGAGAGCACTCCATAAATACCTTAAACTTGAGGGAAAGGTCTGTTGAAACACTGGCTAATAAATTCAGAGTGAAATACCAAAAGTTACGTTATCTTT